TGTTCGCCGCCCTGAGTCCCTCCCGGAGAAGGCCGGCATACAAATAAATTAAATCTGAAATCTGAAATCTAAGTTGCTTCTCTACTCGATTAGTTTCCATCCATTGCTTCTTGTTCTACCCTCAGGTGCTTTGGAGAATAGCTTGACTCCCTCTTCTTTATGCTTCCATGACCCTCTAAAAGGATGCAAATGACCCGCTGTCTGCAAGGAATGGAAATCCTTCCATTCAGGTGTGGCAGCCCCTGAGATATATTGGAACATTGCTATCCTGTCAACCCTAGTCTTTCTTTTCATTAAACTAGACATACTCAGTTCCTGCAACCGTTCTTCAACCAATCGAGTTTGACACCCCTGGACCATACCATTTATCCCAATGCTTGCTCCGTTTTCTCAAAACCAAGTCAGCTTTGACCTTGCGGATGGAAAGTTAGCCTAATCAAATGTTTCCAGAGTAACCATGTAACCCAACACACTTCCTGACTCCAGTTACCAGGATTGAATTAGATCTATCTTCCTTTTCATCAGTTCGGATCAATTCAGGCTTCATCAGAAATGTAGACAGTTTTCCGTTCCTATCGGCCCGGTTAAGCAGGTGTCTAAACACCTGGCGAGCGCAGTCACCGGGCTCATCTATAACGCAAAGGTGTGATTGTGTTGCTTTGGTTCTGCAGGCATACAAGAGGCCATTAGAGTTGAGCATCTTTTAACGAGAGCCTGTTAAGACTAAGCGATGCATTTGGCTTAATAGTCCATAAATTGCACAGTCCAGCTACGTATGCTTGATAGCGTGGGAAGAATTTATAAATTGACATAACTGTGTTAGAAATATTGTACAGGGCATCACACACCCCAAAAGGCGCTTTTTCAAGAGGCAACTGGACTCTCTTGTTTTATCTTTGAAGGCATTGCCTCTTGAAAAAGCATCTTTGGGACAACGATGACTTGGATGACTGAAAATCTTCATGGACGTTTAGGCAATCATATGTTAGTTAACCCAGGTCTTTCAACAAAGTTAGATTAACAGTGTTGGAAGGGACCTTGTAAGTCATCTAGCCCAACTGCCCATGGCCATGCAAGCAGGACACCCTATAGCAATAGCAATAGCAGTTAGACTTATATATCGCTTCATAGGGCTTTCAGCCCTCTCTAAGCGGTTTACAGAGTCAGCATATTGCCCCCAA